AGACCATATCAATTTGTCATTTCATTTGTAAACAACATTTAAGTCTACTTTTCTATTTTTCTCTACTCAGGTTCTACTTCTCTATTTTCCCATTTTCTTTCTCCCAAGCCCTATTCTAAATGCTTTGGCTGATATTTTTATTTATTTATTTTTTTAAAGATATGTATTTTTTATTAAATCATAAACACATAGATCACGTATACATTAATGCATTTATGGGGTACAATGTGCTGATTTCATATAGAATTAGGAATGCTTACATCACACTGGTTAATATGGACCTCATCTTGTTTACTTAGTTATTGTGTTAAGACATTTATACTCTATTCTAATGGATGATATTTTCAATATTTTAAACAATGTGAATGGAAAGTCTCAAATTTTTAAACTTTTCTTTAATCTAAAGGCAACAGATATTACATGTGCATAAGTTTCTAGGAGTTTTTTTTTAGATGCCACTTTAGTGACATTGCAAAATTCCATTTATATTTTCTAATAAATAATTATTTGTCTTAGCCAATTAGCCAATGCCTTTATAATCAATACATGAAACAAAAAACCTATAGCCATTTCATCTACTTGGGAAAAATCCTTTTTTTTTTTTTTCAATTGCAACATAGAAAAGGAATGTTTCCAACAACCACATTATGCGTTGTAAGCCTTACAATGTATTTCCACCTCTTGTTTCTTTTTCCTTTTTTTTTTTTTCCTGTGTGGGTTGTATCAGCTATGGGACCTTGTGCTAGTCAAATCACCTCTCTAAGCCCCAGTTTCACTGTTTGTAAATATACAATGCCAATCTTATCCACATAGAGGTTTATTTTTAAAATTCAGCAGATTTTTGTAAATTATAAAAAGCTAAGCAAATAAAAGAAAATATTGTCATTGTGACAAAGACCAACAAAAGCAGCATGATAGATCAACAAAGGTGATGGAAATTTTAGATTAATAAATGCCTAGTTATCAACCATGGACAGGTCTGTTTTGTTGAATTAGTAGAGGCAAATGATCATTACCTCCATTTTCTAGGTGCAAATTCAGACAAAGCTTGCCTCTAAACACAGTGGTTGAGGAAGAAGAGAAACCCAGATTGGTACTTATCCCATTGAGCCTTTATTGTAACAGACTCCTATATATCTGTTCCTTTATCCAAAGAATAACTAATTAGTCCTGTCAGCTTTTGCCACACCTTGCTCTAATTCTAAATTTACTTTAGATGGCTTTGGGCCCCACCCATAACCTCGCCCATCTTATGACTTGTAGAATCTATCTATGTCCTGGCCCTTTGGCTGTTTCAGGAACACCTATTTCATTTTTTTGGTGTGCTTGATTATCAGACAGAAAGGAAAGTATTAGCGATTCTAATTCATGTTTCTAAAGTGGAGAGGAGAGAAAAAGAAGGCTTGCGATAACTGTCTATGGTAATCCATTTCTTGAGAAACCATATATTTGGTAAGCACCTGGAAATTCTCCAGTAATGCAAGGATTAAAGCCAACTCTTAGACTGAGGGTATTTAAAGGGGAAAAAGTGAGGCTGGAAAGAGGAAACTGCTTTACATTTGGCATTCCAGAGAAGATTCTCAGTAGGAGAATCAGCAGTAGGAGAATTCTCAGTAGGAGAATTCTCAGTAGGAGAATCAGCAAGAGTGTTATGTGAAATTGAGGGGATAGAAACAGGACACTGACCCTCATGTTGATATTAGGCATCCATAATGCCTCCTGTAGGAACTACCATGGGAACTCTAGTACTAGATTGTCTAGATTCAAACTTGAGGGAAATTGTTTTACTTCTCTGTCTCAGCTTCTGGTCTTTGAAAAGTTGATCTCATGGAAGTAGAGAGTAGAATAGAGGTTACCAGAGGCTGGGGAGGGTACAAGGGAGGAAAGATGAGGAGAGATTAGTCAAACTGTTACAAAGTTACAGTTAAATAGGAAGAATAAGTTTTGGTGTGCTTTTAACACAATAGGGTGACTACAGTTAATGTCTATTTCAAAAAAGCTAGAAGAGAGGAATTTGAATATTTTTACCACAAAGAACTGAAAAATGTCTGAGGTGATAGATAAGCTAATTACCCAGATTTAATTATTGCACAATGTATCCATGTATCAAACTATCACACTGTACCCCATAAATATGTGAAATTATTATGTGTTAATTAAATTAAATTAAATTTGAAAATATTTAAAAAAATAAAATAAGACTAAAAGTAGTATATACACCCAAGGGTGACTGTGAAGATTGTATGAGATAATACATATAAAGCTCTTAGCACAGGGCTGGGTCTTTGATGCTGTGAATGCTGAATAAATGGTAGAAGGTATTATTATTATTACAGATTATTATTATGAATGTTACTGCTTGCGCCTTGTACCTTATGCAAAATTTAGCTGGAATATGGCAAAAAAAAGGCACTCGGTGTTTTTTGAATTATAACTGTCAGAAATGTCATGAGGATAAAACTTTGTGATGGGTTGACGGTTTGCGTAGTGACAATGGGCTGAGGAAAGTTGAGGGGAAGGAGGTGCAGGAAAGACTTCATATGACCAGAAAATTTGTTTGCTAGTTAGTGGAAAGGGTTCAAAAAAACCTGGTTTTTAAACCTAGCTGTAGCACCAATAAGTTGTATTAGCTTGGACAACTTACCTTCCTTGTTGGCTGTTATTTCCTTGATTTTTAAATAAGATCTAAGACCAGATGAGCAGTTGGCTGTGGTCTGGGGTGTGGAGTATACCAGAAAGTTTTTCAATTCTAGTATGTCTGCATTTCCTTCTCTGGACTTCCCTTTGTCTTCAGGTTCCCTACCTCCTTGTGAAAAACTCAGATGTTCCCGGTAACCATATACTATATAAAGCCCTTCTTTGCACTAGTGATAATCCTATAACCCAAAAGCAGAGGAAAGAATTGTCTTCATGTTCATTTGGGTAAGAAAGTCTAAGCTAGACCCTAGGTATAATTCAGGAATTCCTTTTGTGGGTTTATCCATAAGTGACTCTGGAAGCCAGGTTCCTGTTTCCTACCTATGCTTAGATATGTTGAGTTGGGCTAATTTGCAAAACGCATTTGATAGTCTGTGTCAGGTTTCAGTACCCAATAAATGAAATAGAAGTAAATTACTTTTTGTTCTTTACTTAGCTTTTATTCTGTACATAATACAGGCCTATGAAATTTTAAGGGAGACAGAACTTTGTTAGAATCTACCTGAGACTGTTTAAGGAAAACCTAATTTCTTTAGTCTTTACAGGTAAATTGGAGGAATTTCTGTTTGTCAGATCTATTGCCTTGAGCCCAAAAGTAACCAGTGCCTTTGTCTTAATCTATAAAAGTAGCTCTATGGAAAATCTGTAATCTTCTGGTAACTAAACCTACCTAGTACTTACAGATGTGTTAATAGGTAGCCGTGGGATGGTGAGTAAAGAGGGAGGAATTGAGAAAGAGATGTACTGGACCTTATTAAGAGAAATGGCATCCTTTTATGAAAAATAATAAAAATGAGGCATAGAATTTAAAAAATAGAATGGTACTGATTCAGCCTGATTAGCTAATTGAAGAAAGACTTAAACACTTGGGTCCCAGAGGAAAAGCTTTCATAATCCTGGGTCAAGTGTGTGGGACCCAGAATAATAGGAGGGAACTACATAGGGCTGGGAAGCATGAGATCTCTGCTGTACTTCCAGTTCTGTTACTAACTTGCTGTGTAATCTTGGGCAAGTCTGAGTTTCACTTACTAATATATAAAGGAGAATTTGACTAGATTATCTCTAATATAAATTCTGGCTCTAACATTTTCATTTTAAGAGTCTATTATGTAATAACTGAAGCTTACCAATGAAGAGAACATTACAGTGGATCAGGTAGGATGAAGAGGGTGGGGTGGGGAGGGATCTGTCCTGGGGAATTAAGCTATGCAGAAGAAAAGAAAGGCAGTTCTTGAATGTTGTGATAAGTGACCTTTAACCCTTAACTTTCCGGGAAATTGTTGGTGCCAGAATACAGATTTGAAGAGAAGTATGTGGAACTGGGAATAGTGATTTTTCTTTAAAAGTAAAATACTTTTGACTGAGTAGGTATGTGAAGGCATGAATCCTTTAAATTTTGATCATAAAACCAATATTGCCCAAGAATAAAAAAATGATCAAATTATATTCTGTTGGGAGTGAAATGTTACAGTTTTAAGAAAGAGGTAAGAAGTTTAGATTTAACCCTTAGAAAGATCACTCTTTCTACCTGTGATGTGGAAAATAGATCAGAGGCAAGAAAGACTGAATAAGGAGATATCTGATGATAAAAAAAATCTCAATTTAGGAAGTGGCAGTGTTAATGGAGAGATTAAAATGGGGAGGGAGGAGTTAAGGAACACTCCCGGGTCTCTGGCTTGTGCAATTGAGAGGATGATGCTGTTTACTAATACAGGAAACACAGGAAAAAGTGGGACAGGTATGAGAGTAGAAGATGATGATTTAATATTTATCAAGAAATGGAACAAAATTTTGAGCTATCTGAGGCTTTGGGGTAGGTTCTGAGCTTTTTCAGTAGTCAAATAACTTTCAAATACTTTTTTTTTGTCTCAGCAAAGAGTATTTGTCAGTGTTTTTTTTTTTTTTGTTGTTGCTGGGGGACAGTATTGCTATGGAGACTAATGATGTCATAACTCCCCTATCCATTTATAAGAACACTCTGGTGGGTCTTCAGTACTTAAGTTACTGCAGCCTGGTCACAGCAAGTATATAAGTGTGTGTGTAGGGAGTAGAGGTGGGGTTGGGACTTAAAAGGTTTTTGTTTTCCTTTGTTTTGACATTTGTAAGAAGAATGAGACTAGAATCTTTTTTTCCCAGTTATATTGGTTCCTAACTTGACAAATTCTGTTTCTATGGTCCAAGGGGTCACAGTTTTCCCAATTCTTGGTAGAAAATACACAAGTACCTCCTAAAGTCTTTAAAATTGCATTTATTTTGATTATTTGGTGTAAGATGAAGTTAAATGTTATATTTTTCCTTCATAGATAAGAGATATCAAGGTATTAAATATTGGAGAGATGGCTTTGTTTTGTTTGGACATTAGATGCCTATGTATCATTCTTACATGGACAGCATTTGGCAATACTTTGTCTTCAGAATTTGAAATCAAAGGTAAATGAATTTAATGGCATAGTTTTAAAATTGGGGAAATTAACTTCCTTCTCAATCTACCTTCTGGAAGGGCATAACTAGTAGGAGAATTATTACTGGAAATATTTCAGTAAGTTCACGTATAACAGACATATTCTTATTAATCAGCTTCATGTATAAGGTAAGTGATAAGGAGAAACATTTTGTGGGATAAAAGCCAAATTAAAAGTCACTGTCCAGGCTCGGCGCCTGTGGCTCAGGCGGCTAGGGCGCCAGCCACATACACCTAAGGTGGTGGGTTCGAATCCAGCCCGGACCCGCCAAACAACAATAATGGCTGCAACCAAAAAATGGCCGGGCGTTGTAGTGGGTGCCTGTGGTCCCAGTTACTTGGGAGGCTGAGGCAGGAGACTCGCTTGAGCCCAGGAGTTGGAGGGTGCTGTGAGCAGTGAAGCCATAGCACTCTACCCAGGGGGACAGCTTGAGGCTCTGTCTCAAAAGAAAAAAAAGTCACTGTCCATGTGTTTTTGTATAATCTTTTCTAACAAATAGCTTAAATATCTGAAACCTCATTGTCTGGACTCAATCAACTGGAACATTTCCTTAATTATTATCTTTAACTTTTATGACAATTATGTAAATAACAATCTACAGAAATTCAAAGTAAAATTTCAAAATAATTATAGAAATATTCTATAATGTCTAATGAATTTTTATTGAAGAAGGCAATTACAGTAATATATTTGACAAGGATTCTAACCTTTAAAATTGAAGCAATAGGATTCGCATCTCATGCTCAGTAGAGACCTTTTTATAGGTATGTGGGGGTCCTAGGTTGAATCATAATGTGTGACATAATTTCTTTTCTGCAGATCCTTTTTCTTTCTTTCTTTTCTTTCATTTTTGAGACAGAGTCTTAGTTTATGGCCCTCGGTAGAGTGCCACTGTGTCACAGCTCACAGCAACCTCCAACTCCTGGGCTTAAGTGATTCTCTTGCCTCAGCCTCCCGAGTAGCTGGGACTATAGGTGCCCACCACAATGCCCGGCTATTTTTTTGTTGCAGTTTGGCTGGGGCTGGGTTTGAACTCACCACCCTCGGTATATGGGGTCAGTGCCCTATCCACTGAGCTACAGGCCCCACCCTGTGGATCCTTTTTCTCACCTCAATAAGTATTAGAAAGTATTACAAGTGAACAATGTGACAGAAAGGAGAGGAAATTATTAGCAAAAAGGGAACATAAAAGTGGTACTATAGCAATACTAGATTTGCGGGTAGCATAGTTTAAAGAATTATTGAATATGCATGTGTATGTGTGTGTGTATAAACTTTGTCTTTACTGCTTTTTAAATGATCAGATAGAGCCATTACCTCCTACTTTCCCCTCCCAAATAATAATATAGTCTGATTTCTGATGTCTTTCAGCTCCCTGACACTTTTTCTTGAATCCTTTCAAAGGGTTGGCCCTGGTTTGCCGTACTCTCAGGAATACCTTTGAATTTTAGTTAACGAGAAAATTCAAATGACCAGAATAGATTAACAAGATCTTTCTGTTCTCCAAATTCTTAAGGCACTCAGTCATAGTAGCCATACTTTATTTTTTAATCCCTTTTTTGTGTTTGCCACAAAATTACATGCCTATAGTAAGTACTCAATTAATATTGATTGGTTCTTGCTATTAGAGAGATTTATGTAAGAAAGTGCTTTCATCCTAGACTAAATTCTGGTATATATGACCACAGGGATAACATCATGTTGAATTTGTTTTTAGTCTGGGCATGGTGGCTCATGCCTGTAATCCTAACATTCTGAGGGGCTGAGGCAGGTGGATTGCCTGAGTTCAGGAGTTTGAGACCAGCCTGAGTAAGAGCAAGACGTCATTTCTAAAAATAGCAAGTGTTGTGGTGGTTCATGTAGTCCCAGCTACTTGGGAAGTTGAGGTAAGAGAATTGCTTGAGCCCAAGAGTTCGAGGTTGCTGTGAGCTAGGATGCCACAGCACTATACCGAGGGTGACAAAGTGAGACTGTGTCTCAAAAAGAAAAAATTCTCGTTTTTATGAAAAATTAGTATCTAGTGAGGTGATGTCAGATTTTGCATATGTGATTTCTTGATGAAGGAACAACTTTTTAGCAATAATCTAGGTTTTTAAACGGCTTTATTGAGATGCAATGTACATAAAATTCACTCTTTAAAAGTGTACTATTCAGGCAGCACCCATAGCTCAGTGAGCAGGGCACTGGCCACATACACTGAGGCTGGAAGGTTTAAACCTAGCCAGGGCCAGCTAAAGAAACAATGACAACAACAACAACAATGAAAATGTACTATTCATAGAGTTTTAGTGTATTCACAAACTTGTGCAACAACCACAACTATCAAATTCCAGAATATTTTCATCACCCCTGCAAGAATCTCCATATTCATTAAGGAGTCACACTGCATTGTCCCTCCCTCCAACATCTACCAACCACTAATCTACTTTCTGTTTCTATGGATTTTCTTATTATGGATATTTCATATAAATGCAACCATGGCAATACATAGCTTTTTGTGTTCAACTTCTTTCATTTTGCATAATGTTCTGAAGGTTCATCTGTTTTATTGCATGTCTCAGTACTTTTTTTTTAATGGATGAATAATATTCCATTGTATGGATGTACCACATTTGTTTATCCACTCATCAATTGGTAGACGTTTGGAAGTATCTAGATTCAGTAACAAATGTCATGATTTACAGGAAAAAATAAAAGTGTTTTATTGATTTTATTTCAGTTTATCCTCCCCAAGATTTTCAGATAGTAGATCCTGGATTTTTGGGTTATCTCTATTTGCAATGGCAACCACCACTGTTTATGAATGAGTTTGAGGAATGCACAGTAGAATATGAATTAAAATACCGAAATGTTGACAGTAAAATATGGAAGGTAAGTAAAGCGTGCACTTGTGATATCAGAGTGATCATTACACATTTTCTTGTGATTCCTGACTTCAGTGTCCATTTCAATTCCCATATCTCAATAGTTCTAATTAGGACATAACAGGGTGGCATGTTTCCATCTCCTGTGCATCCTACTACATCATCCAGTGTTAAGATTATCATTGGAAGTATAGGAATAAATTCACTTAGTCTTATGGAATATGGACTTAAAGAGCACTCACACATTTTACCATATTTTGTAGTTACTTGCATAGACTAGATATAAGTCTCAAATATCTTACTAAACTGTGAGATTTTTCTCTGTAGGAGTTAAGTTTTATTTATCTTTGCACCCCCCGCCCCCAACCACCAAAGAAGGTTGTCGTGTTGTTCTTGATGTTCTTGATATGTATTGCGGGAAATGCTCAATTAAAGTTGATTGGATTATTAATTATTTTCATACTCAGCAAGTCGGTTCATTCAGAGACTTCTGTTGTAGAAGGCATTGTGTTACTTCTCTAATTCAATGAGGTAGTTTCAGAGGGCTTGTGACAGGCACTCTGCTAGGTATCAGGAATATAAGAATAAATAATATACGATTTTTCATCTTCTAGGAGCTCACAATTTGTCCACGTTTCTTCACCTCTGGGATTTTATTTTATGTATTCCCTGGAGGTTTTGTTTTATATTTGAAAAGTGACAAGTAATTTGCCATGTAATGTGCATATGGTATGCGAAAATTCTATATTTGATTCCTGGTAATTATAGCACAAGTTCCTGCATAGGGCCTCTTTTCCTTTGCAGAAGTTTCTGTTTGTAATTTTGGTTTGGCAGAAGTTTAAGATTCAAATGATCTCATCAAAAGATATAATGTACAGAGGTGAACACTGCCAAAAATGCATCTGTGTGTGGTCAGATAACCACAATGGAGTGTCTTAGATGTTGGGAACTCATTAGGGTATTAATGACTTATTAATCTTCTTAATGTGGCTCACTATAATATGGCTATTTCTAAGTTTGACTTTGTTTTATCTTTTTATTAAACAGACCATCATTACTAAGAATCTGTATTTCAAAGATGGGTTTGATCTTAACAAGGGCATTGAAGCAAAGATACACACACTTTTGCCAGGACAATGCACAAATGGATCAGAAATTCAAAGTTCATGGTCAGAAGCCACTTACTGGATATCACCACAAGGTTAAAACAAAGCTATTTTCATATTTAATACCATCAGAACAATCCATTTGGAATAAGTCCTTTAACTGTTATGCACCAGATTGCATGTGTAAGAGATCTGTGACAGTGGCATAAAGTCAAATCCTTAGTAGTCAGTGACTGGCCTTTTTCAATTCTTTAAATCAGCAAATATATTTGGAAAAATCTATATTTTGATATATTAACATAGTTCTCAGTTTTGGGGTCACATTAGTAAATACTTGTATTTGCTTTACTTCTCAGAGCATCCTAAAGTAATCAATTTAATACTTTTGCACATGGTTACATCACTATCAGTAAATGTGAGCTGCAGAGATTTTTGATTCTGCATGTTCCATTTATAGTGAACTGTTTTCCAGTAACTTCCTTTTGAAATATTTCTGATTATGTAAATTGCTAAATGAAATGGAAAGACCATAGGAAATTTAATAAAATTGCATAATAATTTTACAAATGATGCATCACTATGCCTTTCAAGTATTCACACTCGATTTTTTTCCTTAGGAAATCTTGAAACTAAAATTCAGGATATGGATTGTGTGTATCACAACTGGCAATATTTATTCTGTTCTTGGAAACCTGGCATGGATGTACATTTTGATGCTAATTACAACTTGTTTTACTGGTAAGTATTTCTATAATTGAAATTCCATTTTAAGAAAATATCTACCAAAATTAATCCAAAGTATGAGTAACTATATTTTTACTAAATTAAATTCATTATACTTGCCAGAGTTGTATTTATGGTGATAATTGTTTACAATTATTTGTGGTTTTCAGTGGGATTTACTAGTTTTAGGCTGGAGAGACTGGAAAGTATTCTATGGGTGATACAAGGTATGCAGTCATTATTTCTGTATTGGATTAATTTGCATCCTTTAGATAGATGAAGTTATAACCTAAAAAGTTTTGGTTCATTTTATATTCCTTCCTTTAAGAAAAGCAGTTATCTGTTAACCTGGATCATTTTTCTGACTCTCTGCCTTTATTAACTGTCTCTGAGTCTTTGAAATTTAGAGCCATCTTGACTCTTCTAGTTCCTCCATTCCTTAATTGTTTCAGGGTAACATGATCACCCTGTTCTGACCTTCTTTTGTAAGGTCACACATCTGTTCTTCACTTCCCATCTCTACTGTAAGATCTTTACTTTAGGCTCCCCTCATTGCCATTGTTTCCCAAATAAATGTCCCTCAGCTTCCAATCTATGCCCTTCAAATCTTGCCCCTTTCTGTTCATTCTGCACACTGTAGCCAGCTTTATCTTCCCCTACACTGCCATTTTCATATGTCATTCCCTTGTTCAAAACTTTCCTCTGGTTACTCATTGCTTCACCATATTAATGCCTTTGCACTTACCAGCTGCATACCACCAGTGTGAATGTTCCACTCCATTTAGGTCCATTTCTACAGTTCTTTCTCACTCTTTGTGACCTTTTATTTTATGTCTTTGTGTGCATTGTCCCCCTGGCATGCCTTCTGGCTCTCTTTTTCTTTCCCCACCTCTCATCCCTCCTTCAAGGCTCATTTGTTCTTCATTTTCATTAACCCTTTACTGATTATGTTAGCTTCTGCTCAGTTTTTCTCTGAACTATTACTTTTCGTAGCTCTTGATTACTTATTGTCAGGCCGTATTTAAATGTTTCTATGTGTGTACTTTATTTCCTTTCAAATTTTTAGGGGACTCAAGGGCATGGACTTTTTCTGGTGTTTCTGTTGACTACTTCCAAAGTGCTATGCCCGTAGTAGATTATCACTAAATATTCATTAAATGAATGAAACAAATGATAGCACTGATAAATGAACAGATAAGTATCTGAACTTATGCATTTACTAAATAAAAGACAAATCCAGAGAAGGCTAAGTGTTAGTACTGGTGAGTTTTATGCTCAGATCATCATGGTATCCTTTTTAAGAAAATCATAACATATAAGGTATAAACATATAAGGTATAAACTATTAATAATCCTAAAAAGTGAGTTCTAATCCCTGCTGTGGCATCATTTAATTTGGTGGCTTTGGGCAAGTAAAGTTTTCCTTTTCCATTTCCTCATTTGAAATTGGATAGGTAAATTTCTAAGTTATTTTGTAATTAATTCAACAAATATTGACCATCTAAAACGTCAGGTACTGTTCTAGATAAAAAGGAGAAAAGCATGGATAAGATAGTCTCTATTTTCTTATACATTGTAGTCCTTGTGTAATATAACTTTATCCTCATCTTAGTGATACAGGGGAGGGATAAATATTAACATTTTGGAGTTTGGAAAATAAGGGTGTTATGAGGCTTCCCTGCTGGCACAGAGGAAATCTGTGTAAAGTCAAGCCTACAATGAAGTCTCTCAAACTCTAATCAGGTGAACTAAGAGACCACAGTTTTGCAAACTTTCTAAAGTAAATACCTGGCATAAAGATAATTTAGTGGAGTCCAGATACTTGTACCAGCCCCTCATCAGCTGCTGTATTGGCCTCATTTCAAAAGGGATTTGGGCTGTTTTTACAGATAATGTCACATTTTGCCTTGTAAGCTTTTCTTTAGGAAAATGAGCTAGTCATATATTGCTTTGGAAATCCGTAAGAAAATCTCCCCTAATTCCCACTAGCTTTATTACTGGAACAAGATTAATGTTAAATGAGATAATAACATTTCTTGTTTAGCAGAAAGGGAAAATTAAACATTTACTTGCCAAACAATTCCCGCTTTCTTTTTGCCACCGCCCCTCACCCCCAAGTTGGCTTTTCTGAGATTTATATCTTCATGTGTCTGGAATCCTCGGAGGATTTTCATTCATTTTTAATGTCTGCTGTTAAGTCTGCTTTCTTTTAAAACAACTCCCCTAGCAAAATATACAAAACGTGATATCATCCAGGATTATTCTTAAAAATTCCAGGTTTTCTTAATAGGAATCTTATTATAAATCACTAAGACTGTTGCTTAGTCAACATAACCTAAGTACATGAGTAATAATCTTTGTCTTATCTTTGAGGTTTTGTGAAGACTCCCACCAGATTGTAAGCCCCATGAAATCATGGACTATGTCTACTTTTCATACTGTTGTATTCTGATCACTTACTATAGTTCTGGCATACATAGGTGTTCAATAAATATTGCACATTACTATGTATAAAATTATTTTTAAATTCACATGGTATCTTAAGATAACTGAAAGTGGAGCACCATGATACTAGAAGATATTGTTAAAGATGATAATTCTCACAATACTTCTTTTTATAGGTATGAGGGCTTGGATCATGCATTACAGTGTGACGATTATGTCATGGAGGATGGAAAAAATATTGGATGCAGGTTTCCCAATTTGGAGTCATCAGACTACACAAATTTTTATATCTGTGTTAATGGATCATCAGACTCCACGCCTATCAGATCCAGTTATTTCATTATTCAGCTTCAAAATATAGGTGATGTGAATCAACCAAAAAATTTCAAATACTTTAGGTCATTTATAACCACTTGGAGGGGGAGAGAATGAGAGAGACAACTAAGGAAATAGGTGCTATCAGAATCTATGAGGAAGCTCTTATTAATAGAAAAGTTACAAAGGTGGTTCTATGGCATATACTTTCATTTACTGAAAGAAAGTCATGCATCTTATGGGAAGCAAGCTTATACTTGCCTTTTATAGCTGCATGTGTAAACCCATGTAATATGAACCTGTTACCGGATGAAGAGGGTCCAGCTGCCTGTCACTGTCAGCCAATATGTAGAGATGTAGATGGGTCTACCAAACTTTGTCAGAAGGCCAGCAATTCTGGAGAACAGTGAGAATAGCCTCTCCAAGACTGTTCTGTTATAAAACCACAGTTTTATACATAAAAGTTAAAAGCAAGAACTGTACTGACCTTTATCTTAAACAACTGTAATTAACACTTATCTTAAACAACAGTAATCTCCATAACCCACGTCCCATAATAAACAATAATTGACATAACCAATGACCCATATAGCAATCTTCTAATTCAAAAAGTTAATTTCTTAAATCAATTGCCCTGAACTACTCAAATATACACCTTCAGGTTAAAGCTGAATTTACAGAATGACAAGGGTGGAAGACATGAGATAAAGGTCACATAGGATCTAAACTGACCAGACCAGCTGTGTCATGTTGACCCTACCTGACTGACTCCAACATTTTCTTACTACATGCACTCTCAAACCAATGAAGAAACGTTCTCATTAAACAACCACAAAAAATATAGAAGATAAAAAATTAAATGAAGGATAAAGTGAAATATATAAAAGGCAGTGTTATCCAGGATTGTTTTTATAAAATAAAAGTAATAACTCACAATTCATTTGAACTCATGTTCATTTAGAACTCACAATTTAGAGCCACAATTTCAGATAGAACTCACAACTTATTGCTTGGTTTCAAAAAAGTGCCTCCAGCTTTGGATAAGAGCTACTGCTAAACTTCAACAACCTTCATGCTCAAATTATTTCCTTTTACTTTTCAGTTAAACCTTTGCCACCAGACTATCTTAGTCTTACTGTGCAGAATTCATATGAAATTATCCTGAAATGGAGCTTGCCTAGTGGACCCATTCCAGAAAACTGTTTCATTTATGAAATTGCATTCTCAGAAGATGATACTGCTTGGGTGGTATGAAACTTGCATTTATTTGGAAAAGTCATAAACATAAACATAGTCTTATAACTAAAATAGTGAACATGAGAACCAAAATCAGTTGCATCCACATGAGGAATAGAACATGACATGTATCTTAGTTTAATTTCCAGAAAGCCAAAAGAAAAAAAAAGAAAAGATGTTTGCAGTCTGAAAGTATAATCAATCATATGAATTTTACATGGGACCTTAGTGATAGTGTAGTCACTTGTTTCCAATTTTGTATCAATAAATTTAAATTGTTGAGGGTCTAAAATATTGTGAAGAGGCTTCAGGTAAAAACAAAATTAAAGAAAAGAACCCAAACAAACACAAAGACCATTTCTTCAGGTCAAAACGAGAGTGCAGCAGGGTTACAAGAGAATTGCTTGTATGGGAAAGAAGGACTAAATGGGGAAGAAGTAGATAATGATTATAAGACAAATTGCCCCTGAGAACCAACAACATGATGATGTCTTTAACCTCATATTGTTACACATTAATTTTTTCATTGATTTCCAATTTAGAGAATGATGGTGACAAGTAGGTGAGCCATTGATTCTAATTAATTCATTTAATACACAGATGAGAAAACTGGTTGTTGAATTGCTTTATAGGTCCCAGGGAGCTGAGCTGACTTACAATCAAATTACACTGCTAGAACTAGAACCCAAATCTGACTCCCACTCCACTGAAGTCTATCCTACCTTAAGCTGATTCCCAAGATAAATTACAACAAAAGCTATAATTTTGAATGAGAAAAATTCTTCAGTTCTTTGAAATGCAAAATTGAAGTAATAGCTTCAGTGATCTTTCTTCCCCCCCAAATGCTAGTTTTGAGCCAAGCCCTTAGCACTGTTACACAGTGCTGGAGGTTATGGAGGTTAATCAAGATAAGAATAAGGGGGGGAAGCTTTATGTATATGAACTCTATAGATTCTGTAGAAACAACATTCATATGATGGCTCTGTCTTTTGGTAACTGAGTGTATGTAGCATGTTCCAGTTTATGGAATCTGGGAAATTTGACACTTGTTCAAATACTGGGCATTATACACAAGGCTACCTAGGAATTTTGCCTTCTCACACATGCTGCCCTTTACTACAAATGATCCATTATCACTATAGAAAAAATTTAAAATATAGGTAATGAAAGGAAGAGAAATGCTTTAAAAAAAAAAAAAACCCTACCATACAGAGATAGTAACTGCTAGAATTAGGCCTTTCTAGTCTTTTGATATATATACATTAGACCCTCTGTACATTGACCACCCAAGGGTCTATAACAAACTGGTCAACATACTGAGGTGGGGTACACAAGGAACTAGGCTTACTGGACTGATATGTGCATAGCTGACCACCTCTTTACACTGACCACCTCAATGTAGAGAGGTGGTCAACTATAGAGTGTCTCCTGTGTTTTATGCAACAAAATCCACTTTGAAAGTGACAGGTATGGAATCTGTCACAATTAAATCAAATAATTTCATCTTATTCTTTCCTTACTTTCAGAGTACCACAGCAGACACTGAAATGTATGTCATGAAAACAACAAATGGAAGTAAACAATTATGCTTTTTAGTAAGAAGCAAAGTGAATATGTATTGCTCAGATGATGGAATTTGGAGTGAATGGAGTGATGAATATTGCTGGACAGGTATGAGCCAAAAGGACAGTAACTAAAAAACTGAAAGTATTTGCTAGCAAAATTAAATTTCTTTCAGTGTATTCTATAATTATGAAAAGGAAAAGCTCATGTATATAGTCTATAAACAGAAAAGACAAGTTAGTGAGCACTTTAACTGAACATACATTTCTATTATCAGCATTCTGATCTTCCTGACCCTCAATAAAGAGAATATGCTAGTTCTTTTGGGGGGAAGGGCAGAAGCCTATCTTAGTCAATATTTTCTTATGCTTTCAGTTTTCAAGGTGAGAGAAATCTTCAAACAAAGATAAGTCAACATACATTTGCCTGGAGTGTCTAACAGGGATCCTCAAACTTTTTAAACAGGGGGCCAGTTCACTGTCCGTCAGACTGTTGGAGGGCTGGACTGCCGGCCCCGGGACAAGTCGGCTGCTAAGGCAGTGGCAGCAAAAACACCTGGCAGGCCAGATAAATGTCCTTGCTGGGCTGCACGTGGCCCACGGGCCGTAGTTTGAGGACACCTGGTCTAGTACAATGACTAGGGGAATATTTTTCTAATTAAGATGTCATGATGAGTAAATACATATTCTATTCATTTGCAACACTGACTTAGGGGGACTTTTCATAAAAGACATTTAAATTACATGGCAATATAACTAAAAAACTTAGAGAGTGAGACAAAATATAATTATACTTCACAATACACTGGATTTAAAAGTAGAAATTAATAATAATTGTTCAAAATTGAAGGACATCAATTCTGCATTGCAGCTATAAATACATATACAGATGTAGATGTGGATGGATACTGGCATTTCTATCGAAGTCATCTCCTTTCATGTTGTTCCACTATAGTGGAATCTCTATTATCTCCCCTTGAGTACAGCACTATCATTGTTCCTTTCCGTTCATTAAATATTTATTAAGTACTTGTTATGTGTCAGACACTTCTTAGGCACTGGAGATATAGCAGTAAAGAAATCTCTACTCTCACAGAGCTTGTATTTTATTCCCAAGTTTGGTAGAGATAGGCAATAAATGAAGCTAAATATGTAATCACTAAAAGTTACGGAGAAAAAAATAGGAAAAGTAGGGTAGAAGAGATATGTGGAATTAGAAAAAACACCACTTCTACATTTTTGTCATTGCTATAAGGAGTCTATGTAAAATTATGTCTTGAATTATATCTTGTGATTAATCAATACATTGCATGAAGTAGATATGATGAGTTTTTAGCTGCATCCTCAAAATACATGTCCTTTTATGTGTTTCATACAAGCTTATCAGCAACAGTGATGACTGAGATTTATTTTGCCCTGATGGATATCTCTTAGTAGAATCTAATGACTTGACAATTAGGAATAAATTAGAATTAGAATTGGAATTTCTTGAGTTATATGTGGCCTTCATTCTTTAGGACATTTCTTATTGGCTGTTTCAAGTTATAGAAAAATAGGACAATAACATTTTTAGAAATAAAAATATGTCCTCTTCAAGATTAAATCTGAAGATGTAAAACATATATAGAACTACTACTGTTGTATAGCATACAACAGAGAACCTCAGAACACGTGGAACCTCAGAGAAAGCACTTCCTGCCTTCCCACTGGTTTTGCATGCCAAAAACCTTATACAGGGTGACCATAACGTTTGTGTGCAATTTACAATAGTGTGCAATTGCACACAACTTTATGGCTACCCTTTATTAATAGTAATTTCTCTGGATTATATCCTTTACACATCTTATTTAAGCATATGAGTATGACTGGTACTTTTCTATAGAAAATAACAACCTAAGGGAATAGGACAAAGAGAAAGGTAGGATAGGGTGAGGTTTGTAGGTCTGGGGCTAAGATTCAAAATGGTCTGTATTACTCCAAAACAAGTGGGTGATATCAGTTTGGGAAGGACAAACTTTGTCTACTTTTTAAGTTTGTCTGGTGATTACTAATTTCTTGAACTATGAAAATTAATATCTAAAGTTAAAAACAAAACAAAAAACGAAAACCTTATCCCTCCCTTCAGCCTTTAAAATCAGAAACAACTTTAAAAAGACTAAACTGCATTACTCACATAGGGATTTTTATTGAAGATCAGCTTGTACTCACTACAACATCTTGTAAATAAACATTTAACTTATTGACAGTTCACAGATACACAGTACATATTTGTTTAATTGCTTTGTTAATTTTTTAATGACTGTTAATTTTTTAAAAATTTGTTTATTTTTAAACAAAATCATGTTAGAAAGTAAGAATTGTGCGTGGGGAGTTATTTTTCTAAGTGAAATTAAGAGATAACACAGTTCGGTAAAGTAGTTATTCTATATAAAAAGTACACACCGTAAGGAATGCTGTATTCAAACACAACTGTAGTATCTATGCACTGGCAAATATGGCAGGAGTTGTCAAGTTTAACTCAGTTCCTCACTATTTAATTGGATTCTATAAAATAATTCATTTTCAAAAATAGTTATCAACCTCTAACGCTTTTCTTGTAATTTTTAATCCTAGGTGGCATGTGGAAGGAAACTTTGATATTTTTCTTGATACCATTTGGTTTTGTCTCATTATTTGTTTTGCTTGTAACTTGTGTGCTTCTGCATAAGCAAAAAAATCTGTTAAAAATGGTAAGTTATATAACATTATGATTTTTATTTTGAGACAGTAAATAACAAAAAATATCCTGCACTTAAAACTGATGGGTCTATATTATATAATTTTGCCTGCTCACTGTGGATCTACAATTGATTCTGTATGGATCTCAATGATGTCTTCAAAAAAGACAATAATTTTAAAAATTAACTCTATAAGGCTACATTTAAGGGTAGATTTAATTTTGTCAAAATAGAATAATAATACTTCAGAACATGAAATACTTACCTTTAGATTAAAGAACAATGTGAGGAATGAGTTATAGGAGAAAAACAGGATTGGAAGAAAGGAAAATGGTCATAGATTGAAATATATGAACAGTATGCCACAGGCATAAGATCACATACATGTTATAAAACATAGTGTCTGCCCTCAGAGCTCACACCCTAGCTGGGAGAGGGAGGATCCATACAAAAAATACAACTTGTGTGATGCTTTTAGGTGATTGTTAGTTGACTTGTACAAAAAAATGTTATAGAATTTCGGAAGATGGGGATCATTGTGGGTTGGTGGTCTTTAAGGGAAAGTGATGAGGAGGGAAAAAAATCTTAATAATATCTTTTCAAGATAGAAATGCAAACGTGGATGAAATGTTTCACTTTGCTGAATGCTTTTTTTGCTTATTTCTGAGTTATTAATGCTCAGTAAAATAATTTGTTGTTAATGATGATTTTTCAATAACAGAGCTCTTTCTAAATTTCAGGTTTTTTATATGAGGAGGGAAGTTTTTCTTCACCAAGACGTAATATGCTGATTTACCAGTTTCCATTCATGTGGATAATTGTCTAACATGACTATCATTAAACTTAATTTCCTTCAAATGTTGAATACATTTTGTTTTAAAGCATTGTTGTATTTAAATAACACAACCCTCAGGTAGTGTTACTGAAAGGTTGACATTTGGTTTGGAGGCTGCATCAGAAAAATAAGGCAAGTGGTTTTTGAGACAAGGAAAGGGAAATGTATTACGTTGTCAGCAAAGGAGGAAAAATATCAGACTATTCACCTCCAAATGCCAAATTTCCTGAACGTAAACAGAAACACAGAGCTTTTAAAAGGGAGGGCCTATTGTCAATCCATTAATGATTCTAATCTTCCCATTTCTGCCTGGGAGGCCTGGCGGGCCCCACCAGCCAGAATCTGGGCTTCCATCTCCATCTGACCATTCAGCTGAACCATTTACTGCAGCACAAAGAACAAAACATATTCCCCTGCCCCTCCTGACCATGTTCTGAGGCAGAGATACAGGTCTCATTTTCTAATAAGAATGGAGGATTTTTTTATGCTTATTAATTTGAGTTCTCTAGAGAAAGAAGAATCCTATGTATTCAATGAGGACATTTAAGATCCTAGTACATGGTGGGAGGTGGGGGATGGGGAGAGCTGAGAAGGGGAGGGAAGGAGGGGGTGGGGGGGGTCAAGGGATGTGGTGCACCTTTTGGGGACGGGACACAAATATAAGAGGGTCCTTCTTTAACAAAAACAATCAAAGTAACCTGGTTCTGTGTACCCTCAATGAATCCGCAATGATAATACTTAAAAATAAAAGAGTGGAGGAGGTTTTAAAAAGACAAAACATTTTTTCCAGGTCATTTCCTCTGTTACACTAGTAGCAGAGTTGCTGGATTCTATGAACAGGTTTTTTTCTCATAAATTCTTGGTGACACTGTTGCTTGTAGAGAAGTCAAGGAATGGGTCAGACTTTATTTAATGATGTACTAATAAAACAATGTGATTTTGCAATGTGCACTAAGCCATGGAGATATTGCCAAATTTTGGAAGACAAAATTCTAGTTTTTCTTTGTTGTTGTTTATTTAAATTATCCTAAGGATAAAATTATTCTGCATGAATAAGATTTCTTGGCTTTAAAAGTAGACTATGGAAAAGGTTAATAGGAAGCAAGAAGTTTTAAATAGGCTCGGCGCCTGTGGCTCAAGCGGCTAAGGCGCCAGACACATACACCTAAGGTGGCGGGTTCGAATCCCCAGCCCGGGCCTGCCAAACAACAATGATGGCTGCAACCAAAAAATGGCCAGGCGTTG